CTTTAAATAAGATAGAATGCAAAAGATTATTAAGAATTAGCTACCAATTTAAAATCATTAGAGAATAGGTGAATTAACTGTTTAAATTAGATATAATATTTTAAATGAATAGAAAATGAGAAATGAATTAGAATATCGAAATATAAATGATCAAACATTAAAAACTATATCTAATCTTAGAAATGAGATGGATAATTTGAAATCCTAATTAACAGAAAAACATATTGAAAATTAAAAAATAAAAGATGAAAATTTTGCATTCAAAGAAATTACTTATTAATAATTATTAAGATGTTTTAGATAAATTAAATGATAAAGATAAATAATTTATTTAATTTTAAAATGATTATGATAATCTTTAAAAGTAGAATCTAATTTATAAAGCAGATGTTGAAAATTTAATTATTATATTGATTATTCTTGTAGATTAATAATGAATTAAAATAAAAAGAATGAAAATTTTAAATATACTAAAATGTAATATCAATAAGCATAAAATTATATATCATAATTATAAAATGATTTAGAAGAAATTAATAAATTAAAAGAAAAGGTTAATTAGGAAAGTCTTTTATATTAAAAAAATTATTAATCTAATTGATTAAATTAGATCAAATTGTTAAAAATTAAGAAATAACTATTATTGATTATAGAAATGAGAATAAAAATTTTAAATCATTATATATGGAATGTTTTGAATCTACAGAAGAGTTGAGTCATGAATTAAATTAAGTAAAACGAATCAATGACCAATTAGAACATTAACATAGAGATGTTTACTATAATCTTAATATAGATTATGAAAGAACTTGATAAAATATCATTAAAAGAAGAATAAGCAGCTATAACTAGAATAAGTAAATATAAAGAATTGAAATCTAAATTAATTATGGAAACTTAACATTTAATGTAGTTCCAATCATCATTTAAGAGATTTTCTACTAACAAAAAACTTTTAATGATATAATATGAATTTTGAAAATATGGTTATATATACTATTTATTATTTTAATTTTTTAACAGCTTTTGAGCATGATTGAAATCAGACGTCCTCTCTCAGAAAAGAATTTGGGCAATAGATCAAGTAAAGAATTATAAAGACCTAATTCATCTAATTAATCTAATTCATAATCAAAATAGACTTTGTAGACTATGAAAAGTTCAATACAATTATAAAAACAGAGTCAAAATTTTTATTCCAAATATTTTAGTTATAAGGATTAAAAGGAAAATATTGAAATACGTTCCAATTAAGAAAGAAATCAATCTACCAAAATTAAATAATCACCTTAAGATTATTAAAAATTATAAGAAAAATTACTCTATTTAGAGAATAAAATCTCATCTATTAAATCCCATATTGATAATAGTTAAAGATAAACAAAAAACAATCTTGCTTCTAAATTTTTTGCATAAAATAATAAAAATAACTAAACCTCAACTTCAGTTCAAAAAACAGTATCAATAGATTTTACAAACAGAGGATAAAAAGATTAACAAATTAATTAATAAATTAAAGAATAAAGAGATTAGACACCTGTATAATAAAATAAATTGAAATCAAGCACTCTTATAAATAATAATGAAAGTAAAATTGAAGGCACTATCATTAAAAAACCAAGTCTATCAACTTTTGTTACTTAAGTCAAGGCTCCATTAAATGAAAATAAAACTAATTTTAAGAATTTGAGACCAGAATCAGCTAAAGCTAGTAATACAATAAAAGAAAATTTTAGGAGGAAAACTTCTTAAGAGAAAAATAATAATACTGCATTTTTATATTATATTTCTTCTATAATTAAAGGTTACATGCAAATAGATATTACTAAACCTATTGAACTTATTAGAGAGCATCTATTATAAACAATGTAAGCTTCAATTTTTTAAAAATCAGTCAAAATAACTAATAATTTTGAAGATAAAAAAATCAATTTACCTACAACTAATAAAAAAACTATAGTATTTGATTTAGATGAAACATTAATTCATTGTAATGAGTCTATTCAAGTACCTGGTGATGTCATTTTACCAATAAAATTTCCATCTGGAGAAATCATTGAAGTAAATAGAAGTCTTATTAAATTAGGCATCAATAAATATTCGACCATATGCCTAGTAGGTATTATAGACTTTAAAAAAGCACTTTGAAATAATAGTATTTACTGCCTCTCATTCTTGTTATGCTAATGTTGTTATTGATTATTTGGATCCAAATAAAAATATTATTTCTCATAGATTTTTTAGAGATAGTTGTGTATAAACAGAAGAAGGTGCTTATATCAAAGACTTAAGAGTCATAGGAAATAGAGCTATGAATGATATGGTTTTAGTTGATAATGCAGCTTATTCATTTTGTCTTTAACCTTTAAATGGAATCCCAATAATAAATTATTATGATAACAAGATGGACTAAGTATAATTGTAATTTATATTTTAGGAATTATTATATTTATAGAATTATCTAATTTCTTTAAAGTCAGTTAGAGATGTTAGATAATATAATAGTCAGAATTTAAAATTAGATAAATTATCCTAATTTTCAGATCCTATAGAATTGTTGTAATAATTATACAAAGAGTATATTCCTTGATATATATATATATAATCAATATTAACTATTTGAATAATATCTTGATAGGTTTAATTCATTTTGATAATAATATATAGATATCATTTCGATAATTAATATAAATAATATTTTACAATGGAAGAGTTTGAGATATTAGATTTCCATGAATTATAGGTTGAAAAGTAAGGATTAAATCAAGCTTCTAAATTTTTATAAAAGAAGATACAAAATGGATTTAAAGTCAGTATTGTAATAAAAAAATAACATAACTTTGCATTGCCTCCTTTGTAATAAAAGAAAAATGATTTATTCTCGAAACATCATTAACCAGTAGACCTAGTAAGATTTTGCTTGAATATTAGGTAAGTCAAAGTTCTGAAGGAACAGAAAACAATGATAAACATGGTTCTTCAACATCTTCTAATTAAAGCATTAAAATAGCTAAAAATTAAATTATCTCTCCAACTCAGAATGAAACACCTGAACAATATCCAAATGAATAAGTTAGTCAATAATCTGAGAATGAAGAAGTTTCATTTGACAAATCTAAAGCTAACAGTTTCGAATAGTTACTCTAGGAAGACATACTTTATAAAAAATTAAGAAATGGTTTGCAATTTATAAGGGATGGTAAATTTAAAGTAGCATTAGAAAGAATGATGGATATATATAAAGAAGCAAATGAAAAATTAAAACAATAAGTGGATAAATTATAAATTTCAGTAATTATATTAATATGTGTTTAATCACTTTGTTATTCATCTTAAATTCTCAAAGAATTAGGATAAATTAATGAAGCATTAAAGTAACATATTTTTATTTAATATAAGATGTTTAGATAAATGTTTAAATTAATTTGAAATTAATGATTTTGATGTATTGTGCAAAATTTATATTGAAAAAGCAAATCTATATTTACTTAATCATCAATATATATAATCCTTAGATTATTATAAAAAAGCATTAATTTATTATGAATAAGTAAATTGGAAATTAGATATTGCAAGAATATTAGTTAAGATATCATTTGTATATGCTTTACTTCGTAATACATTAGATTTAATTTAATAGATGATATTGAAGATGCCAAGAAGATTTGTTATGAAGGACTCTCAATATTATAAAATAAATTAGATCATTAAGATCAAAGAATATTTGAAACATACTATACTTTGGGTTGTATTTATTATCTAGAAAAAGAGTATGATTTTGCTCTTGAATATTTAGAATAATCAAAAGAGGGTTTCATAAAATTGTATTAATATTATCACATTATAATCTTAATAGATATGGAGAAAAGAATGAATAATTATTTAAAATAATGAATTTATAAGGAGTCATTCATCATTTATAAGGTAATAGCATAAATGCTATGGAGATCTATGAATAAATTATATCATATTGTGGGTATTAAGACTTATCATTATCATTTAAGCGATACTAATTCTATAGTTTTAGCATTAATATTGAATAACTTAGCTTTGGCTTATTTAGATAGAATGAAGTTTAAAAGTGCTAATTTATCATTTACTAAAGCAATTACTATTTTAAAATCGTATTTCAATGAAAATCATACAACTTTATAAAGAATAGAAAAAAATAAGATGCTTGTAGCATCCGCTACTTTATCTTATATGTGATTATAATATTTCTATTTTCGTATTATTTTTAAATAGCATAATTAAAGTTATATATATATATATTTATATTGAATTAGTTATTATATAAAGAGTTAATCAACTTAAAGCATTGAACTATTAAATCTTATAAATTCTAAAAGAGAATAGCTGATAGAAATAAAAAGATTTCACTTTTTGTTATAAAGCTAAGAGTTTAAAAATTGGATATATCATTTTTACCTAAAAGAGTATATCATTAGTTACTGGAACAAAATAAGAAATACTATACATAATTTAAAGCAGCTAATTAAAGATTCCCTCTAAAATTCTTAAATTTAAATTGAATAATATCACAACGGCAATTTGGAACAAAAATGGTCAAATAAATCATAATTGCATCAGATTTGAATCCATTTTGATTGGCCAATTATCATATAGATAGTAAGCTCATTTTGTTTTCATATATATTAATATGCTTGAATTACATATATAAAATTAGATAATAAAAGATTAAGAATATAGGTTCTTCTGTAAATAAATAACTTGTTTATATTTGAATGAAGTTAAAAACAAAGTTCAAGTTAGAATAGATAAAATTTTAAAGTATTCATTTTATATTATTAATAAGAGTCTTGATACTGTAGTAACATAATAATGAGAACTATGAGTTAAAGGATTGGAGGAGATTAAGTAAATCAAATTTAGGAATTATTAAAGGTTCTAGGAAAGTTTAAGAATCAGAAGAACTATAAAAAAATAAACTATGATTTAACATTATTATAAAGAAAAATTAACATATACATATGAGGTAATCATTTTTATCTCTGATTTTCTTGTTCTATGAAATCAGAATGATCTTCTGCAAAATCATCATATCTGCTTTCTTAAAAAAAGTCAACTGGTATTCTCAATAATTAATTTTTTAAACAATCTTAAATATAGGTGTTCTTCATGAAAATCTAATCATAGTATTTGAAAAATGATTCTTCATTCTTTATTTAAGGATTGATAGTTTTGACATCTCCTCCAATAACTAAGTTTTTAAAATTCAAAGTAACATTTTTAGCAATGTATTTTTACATAATTTGTTTATTAAAAATATTATAATAGATAAATAAATTATATTTCAATATTTATATATATAAATTCTACTTGAAATTGGAATATAATAAAAATTTAAAGTTTATTTAATATATCATATTTATTTATTCAATTAATAAATAATAATACATATATTAATAGATTATAGAATACTATTATTAAATATATAATAAATAATAATATTCAATTTTAATTTAAATATTTATGCAAATCAAATTTAATCAATGATCCTTACAACCAAATATCATTTATTAATGAAAGATCTTAACTAAGTTTTTTTATACTATTAACAATATTCTTATTAACTTTAATTTCTTCATTTTATTTTGTAATTCGCAATTAATAATATTTTGATTACAATAAAACAATTTTTGAAGAACTAAAATTATCAAAATTAGGTATATTTGTTTCAGAAGATTTATTATTAAATGCATATTCATATTTCTCAAATATTTATTTTAATGGTTTAAATCTTTCCCTCTACATTTTACTAAATAGGATTATTTTTCTTTAAATATTTATTTCCTGCTATCTTACTAATATATAATTAGAAAGTCTTAGTTTCTTATTGAATGATAACATAGAGAAGTTTGATTGACGATTTTATTATCTATAAAGGGAATTCCTTTATTATAATAGTTTTAATGGAATGACTTTAGTAATAGTATTATATTCATTTAAATCCTTCCAATCTTCTGGTGGAGTAATATCTATCTATCTTAAATAATCTATCACTCTATTTACACAAAACTAAAATCTTTAAAAAACAATTTATTTGTTTAATTTTGCTTATCCTATGATTTTCTTTAAAAAATTATAATGATAAGTTTAATTAGTTTATAATTGATTTTCATTAGTTTTTCTCTTATTGAATTCAGGAGAAATGTCATTTTCTTGAAAAATGATTAAATTTTTTCGTTTCAATCTTTTTAATTCAACTTTTTATCTAAATTAATTAATTTTATACTTTTTTCAAGCTTAAACTATTATAGTATTAATTGTTTTCTTCTGGCATATAATTAAGAAACCTCAAAGTTAATAATTTTACTTTGCTTAAAACATTAAATAAATGATTTATATTAAACAATTAAAATAATAGATCTCTATTAAGCAATTGCAAAAGTAAATCGAGGTTATTCATTTAATGCTTCAAATTCTCCAAAAATAGTACCTTATAAGATAGTCAATATATTATATTTATTTTTTGATTGGATTCTAACATCACCTTTAATTAAATAATAGATTTCATCAGAGATTTAGCCTTTTCTATAGATAATTTCATTTTTTTCATAAGTTATAAACTTACAAAATTTTAATAGATTTTATGTATGATTAACATCTTATAAAAAGAATTATATTTTAATACATAAATCTAACATTACACTTAAAGTAAAATAAGTTTGAATAGGTTTATGGAATTCATTAACCATTTGAATGATATCTTAATCCCAAAATTGATTGTATTATGCATTTGTTTTAATGTATTTTAAGACTGAATCTTTTAAATCTTCTGGCATTTTAGTTTATAATGCTAAACGATCAAATAAGTAATATTAATTATCATCATTTGATAGATTAGATTACATTAATAATTTAGCAAAATCACCAATTTTAACTGAATAATATCCTATTGAAACTATAATCCAGATAACTGATATTTAATAGTTTTATGGTATATCACCATATCCAACAGTAAATAAGGTTTATGATGACCAATATACACTTGTAATATAATTGAAATTATTATCATGAAATAGAAAAATGCATCCAAAGATATGTATAAGGAGAAATGCATTAAGAATGACATTTAATAAAAATATCCAACCTTCTGAGAGATAATAATTGTTATCTAAAGAGAAAGAGTCATTAATATTGGTTGTGTAAAAAATCTATCCTTTATAGTTTTTTTATGGTTTTTTAATAAAGTATTTGACTAATCTTAATAATTTAAATAATTAAAGTTCTTATTATTGAATTTATAATTAATATTAAGGTAATGATATAAGATCGAAAATCATCCAAGTTTTGAGATAATTGAAGAATATTAATTTAAATTCTTTAACCAAATTATAATTTTCATCAATGTATGCTGTAATGAAATTCATCATTATATCAATTGCAAAAATTGTATCAATTCCAATTAAAATTTAATCTACATTAATTTGATTAGCCAATTATAATGGAAATATAATTGCATAAAAAAATAATAGTAATTAAATGAATGAATACCATTTGATTATAAAGTATTGATCAGGGTAAAATGGTAAGATATTTTATTTTTTTTATTTGAAATATTCTATACGTTATCTAAGTTGTTCTTTTGAATATTAAGAGAGTGATTAAAAAAAGCTAAGAATTATGATCAATTTTTTTGTGTTTTCTTAAAATTTAGATCTATAATCAATCACTGGTTTAATCTTGGAAATACTTATATTAGGTGAATAATAAGATGAACTTCTTTTATTAATAAGTTCTTATTTTCTTAAAGCAAAGAGGCTTAATGAGAATTATTTGTTGCCAATTTTTCTTTTTGAAAGCTGTATGTTTTATGAGTATTCAGCAGAATCAGTTGTTGAAGAAATCAAATCTCTATTGGTAGTTATCATATAATATATATATATAAAATAAATTAATTAGAAACAATTTCATTTATAATTATTTTTCCATTTCAACATTCCTTCATAAACAATTTCTTTTGAAGATGTTGTTTTTCCATGTAATTTCGAATAATTTTTTAATTCTTTTGCTTATTAAATACACCTAAAATATATTATATAAATTACTTTAATTTCTATATTGGATATTTCAGTAATTTTGAGAGGAGATTTTGGTTGATTATTATTTGTTGTATATTCATTATTTGTACAATCTTTTGCATTTCTAATACTATCATGTGCAGTCCAATATAATTAAGGAGAAACTGATCTAATTCTTTGATTTACTTTATTATCACCACAATGTCTATCAAATAATCAGAAAAATTTTAATTTTAATGTTTCAATCGATTATTTGGATCTTCAACAATTTTAATTCTGCTCTCACAAACCTATTTTATTTTCTAATAACAATATCCAGATAAAACATTTGATGTATTTTAATATAACATTCTTTATCTATGATCAAGATTTGGAGATTTAGGTCTATCTTCTATATATTTAGGAAGTGATTTAGGAAGTTTAGTTGATTCATAAAATATATTTGATCTCTTTTCTTATATTGATTTCTCTTGTGCAATCATTTATATTAATTTCATATCCTTATTTATGTATTAATTTGGCATTATTTTGGTTTTATTGGTGGACTATATCGATGATATGTTTATTGGGAATTCTCACTTATTGGAAATAAAACATTTCTATCATGATCACGTTATTTCATTAAAATTTAAATATAATATATATAATATACAGAAAATGGAAGTATAAAATATTTAATACGAATAATGTGAATTTTGTAATAGAAAGTTTTTTGAAGGAAAATTGAAAATGCATTTAAAATTATGTAGTAAAGAGAAACCAATGATCTTTGTTGCAAAAGGAAAAGAAGAACTAAAGAAGAAAAGATCAAAATCTATGGTTAAACCAAAATCTTTGGGACCAAAAAAAACTAATAGAGAAAACAGTTCATTAGATAGAAGTTATATAACAACAGCAGAATGTCATATATGTGGAAGAAAATTTAATCCTCGAAATCTAGAAAGTCATTTAGAACTTTGTCAAAAAAATTAAAAAGAATTAATGTATAAAAAAATGCTTATTGAAAAATAACTTAAACAAAAGAAAATTAGTACTTACCATTGTAAACAATGTAGCTATGAAATGGAGCAAGATCATAATTTCTGTGGAAGATGTGGTTTTAAAAGAAAATGATGAACAATTTATTAAAATGAATTTAAATATCTTACTCTATAAGTTTGTATATTATTTTACTATCTATTTAAATACATCAGATATTATATTTTTATTAATATCTTAATTTAACTATTAGATACATAAAATATAATTTTAATAATAAAATAAAATTAACTATCATAATTATTTAAGAGTATCATTCAAAATCAAATAAAAGTTGATATTAATATAGGATATAAATGATAGAATAATGAAGATACATAAATAAAATAAATAATATATAAAAAATATATAATCTCATAATGGAGAGTTTTTGAACTATACATATATTTAATCATTATTTTTAAAGTGGAATTCATTTATTCATTTAGAATAATTGATTTTTTTATATTTATTAGGTTTGGAAATTACTGTATTTTTATGTCTCTATTTTTTAGTATGTTGATATTTGTTAATTATTAAGTTTATAAAGAGGAACTTGATTGAAAGATTTTAGTAGCTAGTTTTCTATTAAAAATAGGAAGTGAGGAGAAACATGTTTTAATATGAAATTTAATTTAGATAAATAGAATTGGAATATTGATATTGATAAGAAAGAGAAGAATGGAGGTTTGAAATATAATATATAAATAAATATATAATGAAATAAAGACCAACCACTGCGAAAGTTCCAAAAACTATTGATTAAAGAGAAATACAATAGCTACATGATTTAGATAGTAATTTAGTTGTTAGAATCTAGGTCATTAATATTAATTAATTGGTAGTAATCTTTCTCAATTTACAATTTTGAATGAATTGGGAAAGGGTTCCTATGGAGTGGTTTATAAGGTGAAATCTAGTATGGATGGAAATACCTATGTTCTTAAGAAGATTAATCTAACTCATCTGAAGCCTAAACATCAAGGTATGTGTGTTTCATATTAAAAGCTGAGGCACTCAAAGAGGCATAACTTCTGAGGAAACTGAAACATCCAAATATTATCACATATTATATGAGTTTTATTGAGCAAGACAATCTTTGTATTATTATGGAATATGCCGAAGGAGGAGACCTTTAGAAAGTAGTCATAAATAAGCTATTTAGTTACTAAAAGATTATAAGGAGAGAAGAAAATTTATGTAAGAAGAAACCATTTGGGAGATGAGCAGGGAACTTAGTTCTGCATTGTAGCATCTGCATGAAAACAATATCATTCACAGGGATATTAAAACACTCAACGTATTTCTTACAAAAGATAAACATGTGAAATTGGGAGATTTGGGAGTATCCAAAATATTCAATTCAGACACAGCACTCTAAGGCACTCGAGTGGGCACTCCTTTATATTTGTCTCCAGAACTTGTTTAACATTAGCCCTATGATTATAAGGTAGATATCTGGGCTTTAGGATGTGTAGTATTTTATATGGCAGCATTGGAACCACCATTTTAGGGAGAAAATTTGATTGCATTGGGATATAGTATAGTTAATAGAGCACCTAAAGCATTACCTCCTTAATACTCAACAAGTATAAATTTTTTAAGTAAATTATGAAAGGACTAAGCCAGTTCATTTGGAAATTGCTTGAGAAAATTCCAGCATTGAGACCTAGTATATAAGAAGTTAATACAATATATTTTCAATAAAGAAGTCAGCCATAAAGAATTTCATAGTAGATTTTTATTATTAATATAGATAACTTGATGATGTATTGCCTTAAGTGTAATATCAATAGCACTAATTATAAAGACCATAAACTTCAAATCCAAAATCATATGCTATGTAAGCTTAGGAAACTGAGAAGATGAAGAAAACAAGGAAACCATAATAGTAAGACTTAATTAGTAATGGATCTGATACTATTTATATGGGAGATGTTATTGATATAACCTAGAAATAGGTAGAGAATGAGCAAATATCAAGAGCTTAATAATATTAGTAGTTATTGAAAGATCAACAGGAGAAATTAGAGAAGGAAAGACTTGAAAGAGAGAGGATAGATAGAGAGAGATAAGAGAGAATGGATAAAGAGAGATAGGAGAGATTGGAGAAGGAGAAATAAGAAAGATTGGAAAGGTAAGAGAGAATTGAAAGAGAGAGAATGTTGAGATTAGAGAAGGAGAGATAATAAAAAGAATAATAAGAATAAGAAAGATTAAAGTAATTAGAATAATAAGAATATAAATAATAATAATAATAATAATAATAATAATAATAATAATAATAATAATAATAGTAATAATAAGTCTTAAAGATTTAATCTAATCATGTTGAACTTTATATATAAGATATTGATGATAAATAATTTCAAGAAGAAAGAAAAAATTCATTTTCATTAGAATAAGCACCCAAATTTAAATTAGAAATTAAACATACTAAACCATAAAATACTTATAAATCTAATGTTTAAATTAGACCTTTATCAGCATAAGCAAGAGGGTCATCAATTGCAAATATATCTTGTAGAGCTAAATTAATTCCTGTTCAGTAAAATTAATCAGTTAAAGAAGTCAAAAAATTCACAATCTTAGATTTGAATCCAAATTCAACTTAACCATCTTTACATTAAGATATGCCTATATAATAGGAACCTTACATTAAGTATCCCAATACTAATGGTGGTCAAAATACTGTTATTAATAATGTGAATAATATCGTAAATAATTAACCAAATAAAACAAAAGAAAATATTCGTATAAAAAGTGCACTTATTTAATAATACTCAAATAAAAGATAACAATAAGATCAATAATAATCAAATTAAATTGTGAAACATTATACGTTAAAAGATTTGGTAGAATCATGATATTAATTATTTATTTTTTGGATATATGATCATAAATTTGTAATGATATTTGTTTTGATTCTATCCTATATTTCTTAAATTTGTTTATTGATTTAATTCAATTTTTCAATATCAAAATTATTGGATCTACTCAATCTAACAAAGTTTTTATTAATCAAATAATCTGAGAATTTACTATGTGACCATTCATCATTCAATCTATGATAATTTAATAATTTACTTGAAATATTAATAAGATAAATATATCATTCCACCTGTATTCAAAAAATAACCTATAGGTTCCATTACATCCCAATTATAGTATACATATATACCAGCACCCATAAAACAGAAATGACCACATAATACTAAAAATCCACCAAACATTTAAATCTTAGCAAATTTAACTGCTGAATCCATAATTTCTTTTTTTTTCTCTTCTAATTATTCTTTAGTTTTTTTCAACTCAAAATATTAAGTATACATATCAGTTTCATGATCTGATTAAGTGTTTCTCATATTAGTGTAAGAATCAAGAATCACTTTTACTAAATCATTGTATTCTATCTTCTATTGAGATGAAGAATAGTTTTTGAAAAAAGTTGTCTTGAAATTTTATTATAACACATAATCCATTCTAACCAAGTATTAAATAAGAATGTTTTTCTCCAACATAGGTACATGTTTACGAGTGAAATAGGATTTACTTATATTATAAATTATTCATTTACATATAAGAATAATCGTCCTTATCATACCCTGATAATTATTTAACAAAAAATAAATGTTGATTATTTGTCAATAAATAAAAAGGTTCTTTTATTACTTATTCCATTGTATTTACACCTGCTAATGGAACTTTGTCAATTGAATATAATGTAACATTATCTTTTAACTAAATAGTAATATCAACTGTACATATTCTTAACAATTCTCAACAAATTCTTTTACTGTTAAATCTGGGTCGATCTACAGTTCAACATTATTAGTAATATTCATAGCATCGTCTGTTTCATTAGGACTTTTTGTAAATTCTAAACTCAGTATATATTAGTCTTTTAGTTATTCAAGGTAAGCTGTTTTAACCTTCAAAAAATTAACATGTTTCAAATCTACAAGGTCTTTAGGCACATTCTATAAGATTGAGCAGAACCTTTTACAAACTTTAAAGAGTTGCATTTGATATTAATATTTATATTTATCTAATTATAATTGTATACTTATAAATTTTCAATATATGAATCAGAATTAAAAGATAAAATAACAACATTAGATACAAAATTTATTTAATATAATCAAATGAACAACTTTTTCATAGCTTAAGCCAACTACTTATTATTGCTAGATTCTTTAATCTCTATTTATTTCAATTAAGAACTGATATCTATTTTGTTATCTGATTTTTGCACTTACAATAATTATCCTCTTGCTTCCTCAAGATTATTTAATTCAATATTGCAAATAGCTAATCTATATAAAACTTTAATATTTCTATTAATCTGTAAACTTTTTATAGCTGCTTCTTTTCCTTTTAAGTATTTCTATAAATTTATATAGACCTAAGCCATATTTCCATAAGTCAAACATTTCAACTCTCGAATGGCATTGGTCTATTCTTAGGTTGTTAATTAAACCTAATGAATACATTATCTTAATTTACCTTAGAATATGATTCAAATTCATCTTCTTTACTTATAAAACCATTGATGTATAAAAATACTTTGTGATAACAAATTAAGGCTTTCTTCCAATCCTAATTTTTATAATGCTAATTTCCCTCTTCTTTATATTATTATGCCATTCTGATATTCTCTTAAACTTAGTTATCATAATCTTGCATCCTAATTAATTATATAAATTATCAAATATTAGTCATATGTTCATTTCTTTAAAATCCTTTTGTATTTCTAAACTATTTTTTGTTATTGAATTTGCTTATTAAGTATAAATAAGACCAAATACTTTACAATTATTCTAAAATACTCTAAAAAGTTAATATGTCCATAAGAAATGATAAAATTAATAATTTAATAAATGTTAATCTACTAAATATAGAATAAATATAAAATCAAAATGGAAGATAAGGCATGAAAATTAACAGATATGCAATTATATCTTTAAACTCAAATTTTGTAACCAATGCTATAGTAACTCATTTTTTTATTTTTAGTTTTGTAGGTATGAAATATCCTATCAATAAATCTGATATTAGAATTTTTAAAAAGAAATGTAATCATATTATTCATAAAATAGTTTCTAATAATATAAAATTAAATTGTCATAAATTATCAGATCTAGTTCTTAGAAGTATTAGAGATCTAAATTATCTTAATTCAACTTCATTAATTTAAATTAAAGACTTTCATTCCTCTTACAATAAAGAAAACATCATTCAGAACCTATTAAAATATAATTGATGAAATGATAGACCAAATTTGTTTTACTCATCTATCGAAGGATTACAGAAGTTTTAAATACCTTATGAATTCCTTGATTAATTGTCTGGACTCAGATCTGATGTATAATTTTAAGTTATATAAGATGTATTCGAAATGTAAATATGCCATTTTTGTAAATTAATGATTGATATTAAAAATTTGAAATAATGTTAATATAATCATTATTAGATGGGTTTACATGAATATGATGAAGATTTATTAATCTGTTAGAGATATTAAGTAAATATAAAGTCATAATAATCATATATTTTAGATCTTTATTCTACAAATTACATAATTGAAAGTACAGTTAAATTATGATATATCATAGATTAATAGATTAAATTTAAAAGATACTTTTGTTTAAAATATTTAAAATATGAATTTGATTAATATGATATTAATGAATTTCTGTTGATTTTTCCATTGTGTATATAATATTTAATGTACTTGTATTAGATGTTCCAAAAATGAAACTATTTATAAATTAAAGAGATAATATTTAGAATTAGATGGAGATTTTGAAGATATAAGTTAATCATCATATTTTGAAATGCTTGTAAGGAAAAAGAAAATTAATTAAAACATTACTATTGAATTTAGTAATTTATTTAAAAATTAATATGAAAATAATGAAGAAATTGTAATACAAAAGAGTTAACTTAATGACAAAAAATAAATTACCAAAAGAATTTTTAAAAAGAAAATCAAAAAAAATGATACAGTATTAATATCAAAATAACATAAACCTTACATATATTGAAAGTTCATCATCATCAGTAAAAATTAAGAAATCAAATAAAATCAAAAAGAGTACTTTATTTTTTAATAATAATCATAATGATCCTTTTAATTAATAAATCTTTATTTAATGATTTTGTTTATGATTTTCTTTTATAATCTTTGTCTTTATAAATTTAATATTTTAATTCCTATATCATATTTTATGCAACCTTCAAATGAATGTAACCATTTACTTAAATTTTCAGAATTTGGTTGAAAATATAAATTTGATTGAATTTAATATCTGACTAATTTTTAATATATATTATCAATATATTAATAATTCAGCATAAACTCAATATTCTCAAATTCATAAATGAATAAAAATTAAATAATATAATTTTATCCAAATTTTGTTCTGAATTCAATGAATTGCATTTGCATGATATTTCAATTTTTGTTGTGATAATTTATTAGAACGAATTAATAATGTAATTAATGTTAAATAATGAATTAAATGAATTTGTTAAGAAAGCATATAAACACAATTTATTGAGTAAAACAATTTAATATATCCTTCAAGCTCCATTAATAAGTAAATTAAGAATAAGAACATAAGTATTAAGTGGATCTGTTGGTATAGATTAAAGTAAGAAATAATCAAGAAGAGTAACAAAAACAAATGAAAATGAGATTATTTAACAATAAAAAATTAGTGATCAATTTACAGGAAGAAGTAGTTCTAAACTGTCAAGCTCTATCTTGTTAAGATAAGAGAGAAGAAATACATAATGTCATTAAAAATTGATTAGAATTTTATCTATTTAATAAGATGAAGTACCTTAATAATTAGCTGATGTTTTAGGAGAAATTAGTAGAATTGAATTGGAATTTGATGCTAAATTAAGATGTAAAACAATATAGGTTAGAAACATAAGGATTAAAAAATAATAATTAGTTAAATATTTATAAAGACATTATCCTGACATTATTTGTGAATAAATAGCAAAGGTCTTGAAAATTCCTCAAATTCTTAGTTTTAATTAATATCAGCAGTTGATAAAAAAAATTGAAAATTTAGACTTAAAATAATAAATTCGTATCTGTTTTCTAGTATATGATTTAAATAATTAAGCAGAAATAACTACCCATAATTTAGTTGAATTATTAAAGCTCAATTCTAATCCATCAATTGAATTAGATATTCTCCACATGATTAAATAAACAAAGGTTTAGATATCAAATCAAATAAATAATGATATTAAGTAGATGAATCCATTCACATTACCACTTAGTGTATTGAGAGTCTAATTAGATTAGAGTGTAATTTTATCATAAAGAAGATATTCAGTGGTATCAAATGATGGTAGAAGGAAACTCTTTGATAAAAATAATTAGAGGAACTCAATTGATTTAAATGTTGAAATTGATTAAGATTGTACAAATCATTCTAGGAATACTCCTACTAAAAAGAAAGTTATGTTGATTACTCAAATAAATAAAGATGAATAAGAAATAAATATTTCAGGTACTATATAGTATAAATCTGAAAGAAAGAAAAAGAGAAGTAAAATTATGAAGGATGAAAATAAGATTAGTATAGATTTGAATAGATTTCTTAATATATGGTATCCTTAAAAGCCTAATTTGTTTAATGATATAATACGAACTCTAACTGCAAAACCGTGATTTATTATTATTAAAATTTGATTTTAAATATAAATTAAATTAAGATATAATATAATCAATTTTTGAATTTGGGTGATTCAGCTAAAATTAATTTTTTTTAATTATTCAACATAAGTAATTAAGTAAATTAAGATGTTTTATCTGGAATTCTTATAATTTATTGATCTTTCATAATAACTTAATCTTCATCAATTGAATTATTTGTTTCACATGTTTAAAATAAATTCTCTTATGTATATTAATTATTATTATTTTAAGTACATGGTTAAGTATTATTATTATCTTTAAATTCATAAAAATCATCTTTATTTTAGAATGAAATAAATAAAGATAAATATGTTTAAAAAGATTATGATAATTATTTACATAACAATTAATTTTATTATGTAAAATTATCATGTAACTTTTAAAACTAATGTATAACTAATTCTTGTTAATTTAATTATTAAGTGAAAATAGAATGTTCTTAAAATCTCTTTTAATAAATCTACATTATTTCATTAAATGGTCCCATTGTCATATATTCAATGATATTAAATTCATTAGATAAAATATCATCTTCCATTTTCTTTAATGAATCTATAGTTGATCTAATTTAATATTATTCAGCATTTAAACATTTTTCAATTTACTTTATAACTTCATTCTAATTTTAATAATAACAATTTAATACTTTTAATTAAAGTAATGGTTGAATTGTATTATCAAATATCTTATCTATAGATTACTTAATATCTGATATTTTCATATTTTCTAAACATTATTTAGTCTATTATATTAATTATTTGAATGATGTAATTTTCTCTTATCTTATCTCTTTCTCTCTAACTTCAGGACTTTAAGTACTCTAATAATAACTAAACTAAAATTACTGTATAAGTAGATAATGAGATAGTTTTCGCTTTTGGAGATGGTTAAACAGTTTGATTTAACGAATTGTATTGATTTGTATTTATTCTTTTTTCTTCATTTACTAATTTTTTAAAACAAATAATATTACATAGATAATTATTAAAATTTAGTTTTATACCAGCATAGCAATTCTATTAAGTTAAAATAGGATTAGTTCTATTTTATATTTTCATAAGCGATTTAAGAATTTAACCTTCTTTATTATAATTAATAGAAATACAATTATGTAATTTTTGATCAGAAGGTTGAGTAGAAGTGACTTTTTTTGGTTAATTTGGAGTCTAGTTTTAAATTTCATTAAGTAATGATTTATTCGAATTAGAATTCTTCTCCAAAGAAGATGTTTTTTATTTGTTTTTATTTAAATAAGTAGGTCTTTGGTTATTGTTTAATCTGATGTTTTCTTTTAAAATAGGGCTTTTGTGCATTACTATATTTTAACAACCTTTTTTATTAATTAATTATGTAATTGGATTTATATAAAGAGAGACAATAATAGAATGAAAATTCATAACAGGTTAAAGCAGCAGAAGCATTTTAATCATTAGTACAATATATGAATGAATTAACGGATATAGTGAATAAGATTAAATTAAAGAATGAAGCTGAATTTGTAATTGCTTATCAAAATCATATGAAAAAAATTAAAGCTGAATTAAAAGAATTACGAAATAAAACAGAAGAACAACATAGTATTCAAACTTAAAATAAAATAAATGTTACAAATAATGAAAATGAATTAGTAATTATTATTAAATATTTAGGTTTATTTTAGAGAAGAATGTTTAAAATTATATTAAAAGGTTGAAATGAAAAGTAAAGAAAATTATGAATTAAGATATAAATTAACAGAACTCTAAAAAACTAATGATTTCTTGGAATAATAAATCAAATCATTAATGAAAAAAATTAAATTATAAGAAATAGATAAAGAAATATTACCAATTGTCTAATTAGATTAAATATTTTGTACAACTACTCCTGTTAATTAATAAAGTATCATTTTTAATTATAATTAAGAATATCATAAAAGAAAGTTAACTGAATATCAACCAAAAGTTGAATTGTCATCATCATTATCTAAGCATCATTAATCCTCTATTAAAGAAATGTTTCCTGTTGATGAATTAAATAAAGAAAACATTAAATATAATGATATTGTAGATAAATTTACTAAGTATATATATATATATTAATATTAGATATGTGACCATAATTGAATAAAAATATTAAAATTAAAACAAAATTTTAAACGAAAGAGTATAAAAACTTTTAATATCTTAAAATAAGAAAAGCATAATTAGAAGTGATTTAGAATATTGTTTCTTAGAATGTGTTGATGCTGTTAGAAGAGAAATTTAGAAAAAAAGACCTCTTGGAAATTTCTAATAATATCAATCTTATTTAGATACTATATAAGATTTTCAATAGTTCTATAAAGAAGATAAAATCAAAATATTAGAATTAGTAGTTAGTAATGAAAAGCTATTAGTTTTTATCTACTAGAAATTATTTCCAAATCATGTTAATTTAGTATTATAGTCTATAAAAGAAGATAAAAATCTTAAGACTTTTTTAGATGAAAGTTTTAAGCATTCAGTAACAATGAATAATAATAACAATGATGAAAGTATTAATGTCAATCATCTTATGACACAATATAAAATTGAAGCACCTAAAACTACAAGAGAAGTTAGATCAATTTCTTTAAATAAATAGTTGGAAATGAGAAAAGGAAAATTATTATTTAAATAATATTGAATTATAATGTACTCTATATCTAAAATCTATTATTATTACAGGATTTTTATATATTTTGCATATCAAACTTTCTATATTCTAATTTTCAAATAAAAGATTTATAAATAATATTAAATCAATTAGTATGTCTAATTTTAGTAAATAAGAGGATTTTCAAAAAATCTTAAAATCTTTGATTGATCATTCTCTAAAATAAAATACTATTTATTTAAGATACTATCTTATTTATATAGGAAAATCTTTAAATTAAGCAAAAATTTAAATAAAGGGTAATTAAATTGTATTTATAAAGATATGAAAAGTTATCAAATAATTTACTAATGAATCATATAAAATCAATAATTATAGATAGTAATTAGTTCTATATTTGAAATCATCATTACAATCTAATATTCAACTTTATGAGTAATTTAAATTAAAAATTATATAAATATATGGATTTTTTAAAGTATATATTAATGAATTTACATTTTGATTAAACAAATTTTTTTATAATTAATATATATAAGATAGTTTTCTTCTAAGTAGTATTTAATGGTATTCTTAAAAATTCTAATCAAATTTAAATTAGTAATACTTTGTTAATGAGATTAGATAAGTATTAACTTTTTAAATAGAAAGTTGAAAACAAAAATAAAATTTAATATTTAATATTTAATGTGATTAATATAATTGATATTTATTAATGACTTGTCACTAATTTTCAAAATAAAATTTGTTAATTTGATTATTCTTAATTTGAGTTTTAGCTTTATTTTTTGGATTGAAATAAAGCATAATAGTGTTCTCGCACTAATATATTATATTTTTATTTTTTTTGCTTTTTTCTCTTAAAACTATTGCGAGCATTGATAAACCAATTTAATATCTTAATAAAAAATAATTAATACCTTCTTCTTGGATAGCTGTGTTTTATTGATTAATTTTTTGATTTCCAACTAATTTGGGTATGGATAACTATAATTATGTAAATACCATTTCTTAAGTATTATATTTGTTTTAGTTGGGTATACTTTTGAAAATAAATCTAACAATCATTGATATGAATGAATACCTTATGATGTTTATAAAAGTTTAAGTTTTAGTATGTCTTAATACAACTTTGTTTTATTGTTTAATTATTCCAAAGCTTCTTCGAAATATAGGTTTAACTATTAAGAAGTCATGAAACAGATCGATTTGGTATTTCCAAATTATGAACGAAGTTGGGCAAAGTATTAAGCAATATATTTTTCAAATTATTCGAATTGGAATAAGTCCTTATTTGTATTATGTTCATGATCATGAAGTTGTGAATTATCAGATTGTAGTTTCTCATTTTACTTCAATTATTCTTGTTTACTATAACTTAAACATTAGAAAAACGTAGATTCGAGCTTTGATATTTTGATTTGAATATCCTCATACTTTCCAATATTAATATTCTGATAAAGATTAAGATCTAGATGTTAAGGATTATCATCAACTTGAATCATTGATATAATTAATTTACCACACGAATCAATAATACAATTTAATATAGAGGCATAATTTATGATGAATCTTTATAATTAATTAAAGTGAATCAAAATAGCAATTCATTATAAACTCTATCTCCTAAAGCTTTAATATATTCTAAATCAATAAACAAGACTACTATCAATTTTATTAATAATAACAAAAAATTTATATATAGTTGTTCTTAATTAGTAGCTAATTACAATTACAATATTCTCATAATAATACTCTACATATCCTGGAATATTCTTAATTTCTTAATTCAATATCACATTGAATCAATAAAAACTGAGAAATTTTTCAACTTCTATTTGATTTCAGATTAGTGATTACAGAGAATTATATAATAATGAATTATATCCATCAAGCAAACAATAATAATTTTTGAAATTGTGAATAGCAGAATAATTAAAATTTACACTCAATTGTGTAATGCTAAGATGTCAACATAAAAAAATTAAGATATTATTCCTATAAACTTAAATTAAATTCTTTTATTAAAAATAAATATTATTTTTGATAATTTAATCATTTTTTGTATATATGAAAATCTCTCCTTAAAAGAATCCATAATTTAGGGTTCATCGATCTAAAATATACGTCAAATTGTCTAATTAAATCAATATTGATTATAATAAAAATAAATACTATAAAAATTAAACAATTTTTATTAAATAAGCTTGTATTATTCTTTTCTTCTTAAGGTTTTTTTAGTAATTATTAAGTTGCCATAATATATTTGAAATCTGATTAAATTTGGTTTAAGTAATTAGGGAATTAATATTATTGAGATGTCTTACTTTTTTGTTATTATATTATTTAAGTTTATTTTTTTGTACCTTTTTTATATCTATAAAAGATTTATTCATTTTTAATAATTCTTAACTTGTTTAAGATCAACGATGATTTTCTTTTTCGGATGTATCCAAATAAACTTTTATTTATTTATTTATATATTAATTAATTTATATATAAATATATTATTCAAATTAAATCTTCATCACTATTATCATCTTACATATTAAATTATTAATCCATTAATTATTATAAGTTTTCATCTTATTATAAAGACATATCTTATCTATTAGGTTATAAAATACTATTTGATTTGATTTTGGGATAAGGGTATAGAATAATTAAAATTTGATTAATATGATTATTGGATTTAATAAATTTATGATGTTGAAGTAGTAGATTTTGGTGGTAATTGTGGTTTTGCTTGTTGTTACAATTGTAATTATTATTATTGTTACATCTATTATTATTATTATTGCAACTATTATAGCTTTCATTTATATATTATTATCATATAATATATTATTCAAATTATTATTTGAAGAATTATAAATTTTAAGTTTGGAAAATAAAGTTTATTCTCTTTATTACTATTATTTTAATTGCTTTGATTTTTTCTTTTTATTTTTTTATTCTTTAAATTGGGAGACTTTATTGTAAAAATTTTATTATCAATAAATTTATTAATGTATTATCTTATATTTATTATGGAGTAGATAGTCTCTCTAATTCAAATACTCTTTGCTGTGTATTATATTCCATCTTAAATTGATATTTGTAATAATATTTATACTTTATAAATATTATAAAAATAAATGTATAATGTTTGCTTCTTTTTGATAATTAAATAAAATCGTAATTAAAAAATTGAAATAATAATATATCTTTAATATAATTTTAATTGATGTAAAATATCATATTTGATAATATTCATTTAATCACAATTTTTCTATGAGTAATAAATTAATCTTTCTCTTATATTTATTGACTGTGTCTTTCAGTAAGAAAATTCAGACGTTTGTTTTCTATTTAAAAATAATAATTTTATAAATACAGAATTCTTCATCTAAATGAGGTTCATTATGATTATTTAAGTTTTAAAGATTCAATTTGAAATCAAATTTTTTATGATTTTATATAGATTGTGTAGCCAATTAAATGTATTTTTTGACAATATCATCTGTTTTCTGTGTATTAATATTCAATACTTTAGATTAACTATGATTCCCCTATTATTAATGCTATGATTTAGTAGCAAAATCAAATCCTGCAGTTTTCTTAGTATATTAAGATTTGGCTTTATTATTATTGGCAATTTTGAAAGTGGACATTGCATTATACTAAGATGGTATCATATAATTGAATTCAGGTTTTTTTTAAGATTCTGCATTTTAAGAACTTTTGATTTTTATATCATGTAATTTAGTAAATAAATCTTCAGATATAGGCAACTATTTCATATTTCTATCAGTAAGACATCCTCCTTTTGCTATTCTATCTAATTAATTTTAATTAATTTTTTTTTATGATGATGGCTAATATACTTTCTTAATTTAGTCTTGTCTTTATGATATATTTTATATACTACCATTATTGTTATTTTGATCTTATTTTATACTTTTTTAAGAACCTTAATATCCCTAAATAAGAGTAGATGTACTTGCAACTAATAAATCTTATGAAATTGTTGATTTTAATTATCTTTTCTGATTTCCCTAATATTCCTTAAGCATCTTTTATATAGTGATATTATCACTCTAAATTCTAGACATCTTATTCTTACCTTCCATATCAGATGGTTCTATTTATCCAGAAACATAATCACAAAATTAATCAACTTATTAATCAACTGAATCTTTTATCTTAGAAATCTTGAAACTTGATTAAGAATGTTTTGATTCACTCTAAGAATTAGCAAAAATAGCTATAAAATATATATATAGATTCATATACCTTTTTTCTCTCTTAGATCCATATTATTAGTTCTTCTTTAAACATTCTTTATTGAATGTAGATCCTTAATGAGATTGGTTTATATATTTTATTGACTTAAAGGGGCAGATTTAATATAAAAATTTGGAGACAATAATTTATATTTGTTTGTCATTTTATTAATACTGTGATATTACTTGTCTAATAATTCAAGAAATAATTTATTATCTTCATAATTATTAAGGAGACTAATTCCTTTAAAATCTAAACGATTTTATTTATTAGGTTGATCCTATGAAGAATAGATATCATGTTCTTCAGTTTCATAACTGATTTGAGATTTTGATGATAGTTTTGAATTGAGGACATTATTAACAACAACATGATTTTATGATTAATTTGGATTTTCACTTTCTTGCATTCTCTAATAATATAGTTTATCAATTTTCTTATTTCTTTTAGTCATTAAAGTATGACTTTCAACAACTAATAAGTAAGGATGTAGCTCTTTGTAATTTGTCACATAAAAATCTGTCAAAATATCTAGTCTGGGTTTGACTTCTTCTTTCTTATAATATCTACATGTTAAGGAAGTTCTACTACCTTTTCATGTATTCTTATTATTCATCTAATATCACATAATCCTTAAAATAGATTACATGAGGAGTATTAGCAATTTAAGATAGAATTTCATTGATGGGTTTAGCAAAATAAAAGTTAAAGGCTTCAAAATATTTCAATTATAGTTTCTCTAAAATGAGCATTCTTTAACTCTATCCACACAATTTACAATTATTTTACATTAAATTTAATCTAATATAAATAATATATAAAAACTATGAAGAAATTGAAGAGTAAACTAGAAAGTACAAATACAGATAGTTTTGGAATATCGAGAACTGACTTTACAAGAACTCAAAAATCACATAGAAGATATTTAGTCAATACTTCAATCAAATTTAAAACAAGCTCAAGTGAATTAAATAGAATGGAGTTACAGGAAGAAGAGGATTAAAAGATTGTTAATCCAATTTATTTGAATAAGATAAGATAATAAAAGAAATCTTAAAATACTTTTAAAAGGAATGATTATTTTCACTTAAAAAAGATTCCTTCAATAAATAGTCAAGATATATGTTAGAAAAGTAATAGATTACAATAATTATCTTCATATATAATCAGATGTTATTCTGATGAGATATCTAGTCTTAAAGATATTTAAACTATTGATGATATAGAGTTTGACAATTATGTATCAAGATACTTAAACGAAGCTTCAATAAGTATTGATATCTTAATTAAGAAATTATAATATTTGTAGTAATACAAATAAAACAGAGAGAAGAGTGAATAAGAAATGAAGGAAATAATGTAGGAATGTTTTAAATAGAAGAATGTATGTATTTAATAAAGGTTTTGTTATATATTTGGTAAAATGGAATAGTTATTTTTTAATCCAATATCTGGTGCAATTTACTTTAAATTATGCAAACGTCTATCTGATAATGAATAATATTATAGAAATAAAATGAAAGCATATAGAGGTTTGGGAGAATGTTTATTAAGAGTTAGGCCCAAATTGAGTTAATTATATTTTACTAAGTATTTAATGTCAGCTTGGAAATTAAATGAAAAGAATCATGAATTATATGCATATGATTTATTAGGAAAATATTATTTTTATGTTGGATAAATAGAAAAGGCTAAGTAATTTCATGAAAAGATGATTGGAGGATATTGTGAAGTATTTTTAATTTATATTTATATATAGGTTCCAGATTCAAGAGTAAGAGTTTTAGCATAAAGTAGATTAGAATAAGGAAGTTTATCAAATAGAATTAATAGAGAACATTAAGTAGTTGATATTGATGTTGTAACATCAGATGATGAATGTTATGAAATAGTATTAACTTAACCTTAACCAGTATAAGTTACATTTGTTGGTTCTTCTAAATATTTTTAAAGGAAAATACCAGATCCAAAAATTGTTAAAGAGGAAGCTAATACAAACATTAGATAAAAGAAACCTAAATTTAATTCATAAATTTTAGAATCTGGTGGTTAATTTGATATGTCTAAATTAGTAATATCAAATCCACATCTTAATATTGGAGTTATAAAAGATAGAGTATTATTGAGTCATATGACTCCAAATAGAAAACTGGAAATGTATTAATATTTATGTTTAGCAAATGATAAGAATGCATTCAATAATGTTAATCATTTATCAGGATTGTATGATAAATTTGAAATTAGTAAAATTAATAAGTATTTGAATAAGTTAATCTCTCTAATGAACATTGTTTAATAATGGTTAATCAATTAATAAAGAGTTAAAACTAATATTAAAAAATATCCTCTTGCTTGACTCAAATATATTTATTTAGTTTTATTATTAATATATATATATATACTATTATTATAATGTCCAACAGAATTAAAAAATCAAAGAGTCCTCAAATCAATAAATAATCTAACATTGATAAAGATTTAATGAAATATCACATTTTATAAAAGATCAACAAACCCTAAGGTCCAGTAAAATAAATAATTAAGACCTAACCTGATGAAGAACAAGAACCTTAGGATTTTAAATAGGAAATTGAATTTAAGTACTAAAAAAATCATTTGGTAGATATTAGAATTGTTAAATTAATCATACATTTAAATTCCCTAAAGAACATTATGAATCCTCATCTGATAATTCTCTTTAATCTATAAAAGATACTACTATTTATAATCTTAATTGTAACAATATCAATCATTTAACTGATGCTACATCTCCTCATTTTATCAAAGCTTTAAATGAAAAATTATTATAATTAACAGAATTGATTGAAGATGATATTTCCTAAAATACTATTGAAAAACAAAATACTTCTATTCCAAAATAAATAAAGTTTTTATTCTCCTCTATAAATAGCTAATAAAAGACACATAATCTAAATTAATCAAGTATATCAATTGGAAGAATTGTTGATCAATATATTATTAATAGTTAAAATGTTAATTTAAATCGAAATAGTGTAACTAATAAAACTTAAAAAAATTAATATTTTAGAGCTACTCCTACAATTTCATCTGAAAAAAAGAAATAATCTAAATAGATACTATAAATCTTAAAAATCGTATAATAACGTAAAATTAATAATTATAATAATAATAATAATAATAATAATAATAATAATAATAATAATAAGTATATGAAATTTAAATAATTTTAGTATTTTTTATAATAAAAGAACTACTCAAATTAATAGTTTTTCTTTTAATAATACACATAATGGATAAAGGAATGCCGATAACATTAGAATTCAAACTTAATCAGATGATTTTGAAGCAAGCTTATAAAAGTTTCAAATTATTCCAAAATCCAGGTAAGATCTAAAATATAAATATAAGATCAAAAATTAGAGAAAATGTATCAAAATTCAAGAAGCTTGAAAATTCAGAGGAATGTAAAATACTTAATTATACAATGGATAACCATTTATTAGAATAATTGGGTGTTGGAAGGAATGCAAAGAATTAAAATAGAAGTTATAAAGTTTGATTATATTTACTTCTATAACTTTTCTCATCACATTTTTATGATTTTAATTTCTGAATCATAAATTAGTATTAAAAATTAATTTATGAATCCATTTGTTACTGATACTTTATCAATGGCTTAAATAAAATCCATCAACTCTAAAACCATTAAAATTGATAATGCCACTGATGTACCTAAATATATTAAATTTCTCCAATTAATATAAAATTGTAATGACATCTATATCATATATGCAACATAATCAATAATTATTATTTCTATATAATAAAGCTATAATAGACAAGACTTTGATATTTGAAGAGAATATATTGACTATTCTAAAGAAACAACCTATTCATATCATGGAAAATAGATTCAAATAATTAAAACTCGGATAGTAATAACTTTAAAAAAAGAAGTTGAAGCATAATAAAATAGATAATGTAAAGATATCATAAATTGAAATTAATTTAGTAATATTTATGAATTAAATTAGGATTTAAAATTAAAGAATTTAATGAGAACAGTGAAAGAATAATAAAAAAGAAAATCAGAAAAATTAAATCTATAGTTGGAGATGATGATTTTGCTTTAGTTGCAAAAATGAAATAATTTTAAAAAGGCATACAGTAAATTAAAGATTATAAAATAAATGACTTATATTGTAGTATTTTAAATAAATAAAAGAGAACAAAAGAAAAATTTAAATGAAATAAAATATAAAAAAGGCAAATAAAATATATAAAATGTGATGTTTATAAATATTAATTAAATCAACCAACAGTTTTATTAAGTTCTTTATTTTTATTTTTTTTATCATTTTTATTTTAATCATCTTAATCTTAATCTATAATTTCTTCAATATCTATATCTTCTTTTCTGTTTAAAGCTGTTTCTCTGTAAGTCATTTAAATAGAATTCAAAGCTTATATACAATTACCATATTTATCATAACCAGTTGCAATAGCATTTGTTAATAATTTTACAAAAAAGGGTAATATAAAGATTATGAAAGGGAAACTAAAAAATGCATAGACTGTTCTTGCAAAAAATAATAAATCTCCTAATGATTATCTTGGATCATTAATTGTATGTTCTAAATAAACAATAACTACATATATATTCTAAAATAATACTTGATGCAATAATAGTTATAATTAAACAAATCAAATCATACATTAAAAAGTATTTTAATCTTCCTCCTTTTTCTTCTTAAGTTATTGTTAATTCTGCTTTTAAATCTTCTCCTTTAGAATGTGATCGTTTTAATAAGTAAAATGCTATCCAAACATTAATACATTAAGCCAAAAATGTGAAAATTAGTACAAATATAGTATGACTTTAACCTGGACCTTAATCATAGAAAAAATAATGGAAATATGCAATTAAACAAGGAATTATTCCATTTGTTAAAAATTATATGGATTTATAATCTGCTATGTAATTAACTAATTAATATTCTTCCTATTTTTATAAAATAATAAATTTACTTTTTGGATACAAAGTAAAATAATAGTAAACATTAATGGTTATATACCCATATATGGTATAAATTGAGATAATTTAAATATCTTAAATGATATTCTATTCATATGATCTTTAGTTGTTAGATCTGCAGGATATAGAGAATATAAAATAAAATTTCTTATTAAATTTATAGGACCTTTAACATCTCTTTTCTTGATTTCAACCCTTTTAGTATCAAATTTTGCTCTTAATTCTAATCTTACTAGATCAGTGAAATCTTTCCATAAATTAATTGCTGAATCATGCATGAAGTCTTACATAAAATCAAAGGGTACAGATTTTTTAACACTTTCTGTAATTTTTGGTTCCATATTGCTCATTAAATTTACAATTTTAGTATCCAATTATCCTGCTATCCATAGATTAATATGTTATTTCTTTTCTAATATTTTTTTTTTAACATGAGCATCTAGTTTTTTTAGAGATTTCTATTTATTTATATATAATAAAAATTACTTTGACTGATAATTATACACTTGTAGCTTTGGTTAATACAAAATGCTTTAATTAAAACATAGTACTATTTTATTCCTTTGCTTTTTTAGCTGCAATTTCAAAGTAGTTTTCTCCATTTTCATTTAAACAAATTTTTTTTGTTAAAAATTCTGGAATATCATCATTTAATTTAGGTTTTTTATATTTCTTTTTATTATTTTCTATAGCAATCTGTTAGATTTCTTATTCTTACATTTATTATTGAAGTTCTTCTGGAATAAGTGCTTTAGTAAAATCAATTTATGTTCTATCTGTTAATTCTATATGTTATTCTTAATTATTATTTATTGCTTATTTAAATATAAGTTTATTACATATATTATTATCTACTTGATTGAATTAAAGTGTAGCATTGAATTAAGAGAATGGTGAATCTAGTTATTTGTTATTCTTTTCTTCTTCCATTTCTTAATATTTCTCATTTCCAAATCTTTAATTATATGCTCCCTTTGCTGTTTCTTACAATTTCTTCAACATTTTGTAATAAGTTTTATTATTTTATTTTAACCTATTTAATTGAAGTTAATTAATTAGGTGATATATGTTTGGATGGTTATAATGATTTATATTTTCTGATATAATATGAAAAATCTTAGAGTAAATTAGAATCTCTTAAACACATTTATTAATTGTAATTAAAAGATATGAGAATTGAGATATTTATATGATTAAATAAATATATATATATATATAATTTATTTCTTAGATAATTGTTTAGTTAGATAAAGTAAAAATTATGAGGTCTGTAAATAATACAATAAGAGCAGCTAGTTAAAGGTATTTATATTTAAATAATAAATAAAGTAATGGGAAACATAGAATTCTCAAAGTTCCTACAAAAAATAAACATCATATTACCCTTGCGCCAATAAACAGATTCATTCAAATTAAAGATTGTGCTGAGAAAGATTGTCAATACAAACTAGGTAAATTGATTGGTTCTGGTTCAAATGCTCAAGTGTATTAGGCTATGAATATGAATACTGGTGAAGTTGTGGCTTGTAAAAAAGTACTGTTCAAATTCAAGAATCAGTAAAAAGTAGATGTAAGATATACAAATTTAATTAGATTGAACTGTCATTTCTATAAATTCTATAACACTAAAACATAATCAAATATATATCTCATATATAAACTAAAGATAGTCTATTAATTTATTAAGAATATATGCCAATGGGTATGAATCAATTAATTTATTATAGGTTCAATTTCTCAATTATTAAATGAATTTGGTCCAATGACAGAGTAAACTATAAAAACATATACTCATCAAATACTTAATGGCTTAGAATACTTACATAATAAAGGGATATTACATTTAGATCTAAAATCTAGTAACATCTTATTAGACTCAAGTGGAGACATTAAAATCTCAGACTTTGGTTGTAGTAGACATATCAAACAAAATTTATGTTAGAGCATTCTTTAAGGGAGTGTTCCTTGGATGGCTCCAGAAGTCGTTAGATAAGAACAAATTGATACTCCAGCTGATATATGGTCATTTGGTTGTGTGATTTTGGAGATGTTAACTGGGAAACATCCTTGGTTTGAATAACTTGATTTTGATAATGTTGCATCAACACTTCTCGCAATAGCATTTAATCAAGAATCACCTAAAATTCCAAACAATGTTTCTAAAGAATTAACGAACTTTCTTTAAATGTGTTTCTCGTAAGATCCATTATAAAGAGCAACAATATAATAACTTAGATAGAGTGCTTTTTTATAATGAATTTTTTTTTATCTTTATAATTTGTAAGTTAATATAAATCTTAATTTTTTATAAATGAAACAATGTCATCTTAATCAATTTAACTTAAATTATATTTATAACAATTAGATTAATGAATCAATCCTAAGATTAAATACGATCTTAATAAGTCAATCTAGAAGTTAAGTATCATAAAATTTATCATAGTTTTCAAATGAAGTTAATCGTATTTGTTATTTCAATTTTGTTTGCTAATTTTACATGCTTATATTTAGTTTAAAGTTAATCTGGTTATTTGATTCTAAATACATAATTATATTTGCTTGGTTGATGGATTTGATTACTTTCATAGTTATATTATTAGACAAAAACATATCCAAATTAATCTCATGCATTCATTTTGCTGAAAAAGTGTTAAGTGTTTCATTTAAAGTATTATTATTACATTTCCTATATAATAAGATAACAATTATAATACATTTTGAAATTTAAGAAATCAATTTGTATTATATTCCAGCTATGTAAATAATTGTTACAATAGGATTATTTCTTCATTAAGTCTTATAATAAAATAGAAATAAAAGAAAACACATTATTGTATTATTTAAATCTATTTAGATTGCATATTCCTATTCAATTCTTTATATACTATAATTGTTATTATTATCTTTGAAATGGAATCATTTATTTATTTATTCTTATTATCAAACTTTTATTATAACATGGACAGCATTAGGAGTTAATACATTTTTAATTGTATTATTGTTTATCACTTTGGTTGAAAATTGTTTTCATAAAGAAATTCCTGAAATTGATGGTATAATATTATCATATTAAGGATCAATTATAATATGGTTTATTTATTATATATTTGGATTAACTATTATTCCATTCTTTTTATTAAAAGAGATTTGTCAATTTTATGAAAAGGATACTATATAAATTAATATTAGAATAGCTGGTATTACTGTCTTAATTTCCATTATACTCTACCTTATTTCATTTGTATTCTATACTAATAAAATTAGAAATTAATTGATGTATTTAAATTATTTAAAATAGAATTGTTTTATAATTAGAAAATAGATAAACTTAAATCAATATACCTAAATCTCCTTAAATAGAAACTCCAAAAAAGAAATGGTCTAAACTTAAAATTCCAATTATGTTTATTCGAGTTTCTGCTTCATATTATAAATTAGTAACAAAGAAAAAGTTAAATGAATTAAATAATAGAAATATGAGTTCAATTCCTATTTGTAGTGATATCTTAAGACCTGATTCTCTTAATTTTAAATAATCTCCATGTTTAACTATGATGAAATAAATGAAATCTATACCAAAAGATTAAGATTCATGTGATATTTGTTTAATTTGCTTTGAAAATGAATCAAATATAGTTTTAAATCCTTGTAATCATGGAGGTATATGTACATCTTGCTCTGAAAATATTATGAAAACTACAAAATAATGTTTCTTATGTAGAACAGATATTAAGTATACCTTTAAATTAAATCAAAAAATAGGAGAAATTTTAGAAGTCACAGATGTGTAAAAAGTTTGATATATTAATATATTCTATTATCAATCAGTTTTTCATAATTTCTGAATTTTCTTATATTTCTATTGTCTCTCTTTTAATTATTAAATTAATTCTTCTGTTTATTTTATCTTTTTCAATTATTCATTTTCAATTTATTTTGAAACATCTTTTTTAATACTAGGTAAGAGTGGTAATAAAGGCTATCTATCATCATTTGCATTTTTAGGACTATAACTATCATGAAAGAATATTTTACGATTTTATAATTAAAGGTTTAAGTTCATTATCTAATTCATTTTTTCTTATTGCTTTTAGATTATCATGTTTTTAAGATTTATTAGAAATTCTTTATTCTTTTTTCTTAGGATGGATACCTAATCCATAAATTTAATTTATTTAATTATTTTTATTAGTTACATTATCCAATTAAGTATCATCATTTTTTTTATTATTTCTTGAAACAACTGAATTATCAAGACTCTCTTCATTTCTTTTATTGAGACGAGGTAAAAAATCAACATGTAATGAATGATTTTCCTCCAAATTTTCTTAATTCAATTTCTATATAGCTAAAGTTTAGATAAACTATTATTTATCAATTTTTGTCATTCTAATTGGATTATAATTAGGTTTTGGCAATCTATCAGTTAAATAATGCATATTTCTAGGAACTCTTATTGTTTATAATAAAAATTTAGCTCCCTCTTCTTCAACCAAAACTTTATCATCTAATCTATTTACTATAGCAGTTAGTTATAGAATTTTATCACAACTAGGTCTTAAATGTGGTTAGACTTATAACAAAGTCCTGATAACATTATTTAAATCTTAACTATAGATTGTAGGTATTTTTGGGTAAAATCCTTTGACTACTTTTTTATACAAACCATTCATATCTTCTGCTCGAAATGGAGGCTTTAATGTTGTCATTTCATATAAGACACATCCTAATGACCATATATCAGATTTAGAATCATAAGGTTAATCTTTCCAAACTTCAGGAGAGGCATAATAAGGTGTTCCAGTTTAAGTGTAGAGTAATATTTTTCTTGCAACTTTAGAGACATTCATATCTCCCAATTTAACAGTTCCATCTATATTCATAAAGACATTTGCAGATTTAAGATCTCTATGATATATTTTCATATCATGTAATGCTTTTAAACCTTTTACAATCTGTAATATTAATATAGATTAAGAAATACTTATATGAATATATTCCAAATATCTTTTTCAGACATAAGAACTCCCTTCTTTTGACATTCTACTATTTTTTAATATAGATCTCCATCATCTGCATACTCCATTACGATACTTAAAATAATTGCATATAAATAGTTACCATAATGTTTAAGATTATTCTTCTAAAAATGCTTCTTTATACTGAATAACATTAGCATGTCTTACACTTGCCAATATTCTTACTTCATTAAGTGCATTTTATTTCTCTTTATCAGAAAGAGATTACAAATTAACTTTTTTAAGAGCATACTCTTATTAATCTGCAATTCTTTTTATTTTATATACTTTAGAATAGGCTCCCTCACCTAGTTCGTATATTTACAATACCTAATTCTTGCAATATCTGAAAGTCCTTTAATGACATATAATAAATTATTATTAAAATAATCACATATATGTATGACAATAAATAATTTAATTATCATTCTCATTAATCTAAAACTACCTTGGTTTTTTGTACTTAAATATTAAATCTATAAATTACATGCATAAAATATTGAATCTATAATTCCAGCTATTGTAAATACTCCTCCTAAAATAGCACAAAGTTGAACTATGAAATGATTAAATGTTTCATAATATTTTGTAAATTGAACAGTCACAGGAGATATATCATATCTAAAATAAATAGCAGGCATTTATGTAGTTTAAGCTTCATTTGTATTTGCTGTGAATTAATTAACAAAATATTCTTTATTATCTATATCAACATAGATTGTAGGAACAATAGAAATATAATATTAATGTGTAACCCCAACATTTTAGAGTTCTTATGTCTTAATTCTACTTATTCCATCTAAAGGATTAAGTAGTCCTTATTTGAATTTCTCTCTAATTTTTTATATATCATTTTAATTTCCAAAAGACAAGTGTCTAATTTAATGTGATAAATCAATTGTTGATAATCCAACAAATGGTAATACTATATTAACTTATCCTCCATATGGATGAGCAGATATATGGAAATTACCAGGGACTCTACTAATTATGATATATCCAGATAGATCACAACCTTCCTTTTATTCATATGCTTACTAAGCTCTCTCTAAATTCAATGATTCATTAGTTGATAACTATTTTTTATTATTATTTAATTATACATATGATTCAATTACTTTTCCATTTAATATTCTCTTTTTATATAATTCACCTTATACATTTTATTAATGAGTGCCAATTACATCTTGTTAATCAATACTTATAAAATCACAGGGCATTTTAGGAAATGAGATATCCATATTGACTAATAATGTGTCATCCTTATTTTAATCAATATACATCTCAGTTTATACTTATTAAGTCAGATATTCCTTTCCTTATGACTTTGAATTACCTAAAATTCTGTAATAAATAATATAAACATCAAAATCAATGATGTAAATGAGATTAATGCACCTGATTTTGATGGCTCAATCAAATCCTATGGTAACTTACGATATAAATCAAATTTCAGCATTTTTATATTAATTTATTTTTAGATAAATAAATTTTGATTATTGACTGAACATTGTGTAAAAATTGATGATATTGATAATTGTATTATAATTGTTTAATATTGTATAATGAATTATGTTTGTCTATTATTTCTTAGTATAATTTTGACTCTCTAAAAAGATTATTAATGTTTAAAATAAATGAAAAATTATTATCCAATTCAATTATTCTTTGTAAGTAGTATTATAATGACAGTTGTACTTACAATAAGATGTACTTTTTCAGCCTTATTTGTATGTTTGATTTTGAATATTTTAGAATGCTTAGCATCCCTTATCTTTATCAAGAAGCATACAACTTTTGTGATTGTCATTCATAAACTATCAAATATAGCACTTATAACATCATTTTTCTTTTAACGTACTTTTTATGATTGCACTACTTTAATACTTTACATAATATCTGATACACAACCTATTTTAGCCTTAATTGAAAAAAAATAATTTTTCTTAAATTTCTAATATGCTGTAATATTTTATGCAAGCGTAAGTGCTACTTTAAATAAATAATTGAATGATCAATTATTTTTAATAATGACTATGTTTGTATATTTTATATCCTCAGCTCCATAATAAATATTTTGGTAAATAGCTGATAAAATTACAAATAAAAGCTCAATCTAGTTGTAATAATCATCAATATAAAATCGTTAACTATAAAATCAATTGAATTAATTACAATTTTAATCATCAAATAAAGAAATGAAAGAATTTATAGAATTAGATTAACCTAATTCAGCTAAAATGGATTCATTTCTTGATAATCATGAATTACCATTTAAAAAATCAAATATATCAATTTAATTATCTTCAGGAAGACCATTAAAATAATCAGAATAAATATCTATTGAAATTTGTCATTAATCTTAATTATAAGATAAAATATGGAAACAAAGATTAAAGAGTATACCTGTTGGAATTGCCTTAATAGATAAAAATACAAATGATTTTACTTATAAAAATTAATATCTAGATTAAATGATGACTAAAACTCTTTAATTAGAACTTGAAGATTATCCAGCATATTTATTAAATTAATTAAAATTTAAAGTTATAGATTAAGGATCTGAATATAAAAGAAGTTATTACACACATTATTTTAGTATGAAATAAAGTAAAGCAAATATATAAGTTGAATTTCCAGGAAGAACTTTAACATAATCTTATCATACACATAAAAAGAAAGGTTCAGAATCATCAAAAAATATAAGTGAATTTGAAATTCATCATCCATAAAAAGTTTATTCACTTAATCAAATTATAAATAAATTATAAGATGGATTCTTTGATAATTAATTAAATGATTAAGATCATACTCTAGAATTATATTGTAAATATTAATTGAATGTTAATAATATTATACATTTGAATCTTAAAGTACTCTATAGTCCTGATTAAGTTGAAATGACAGTTATTATTTAAGATTATACAAGATAAAATAAATTATAAAGAATAGAAGAATAAGAAGAATTCAAATCTAAAATGATCAGTTCATTTAGTCATGAATTAAGAACTCCATTAAATAGTGCAACATTATTTTTTAAATCAGCATTACTTGATAATAGATTAGATAAACATATTAGAGATGCTTATATATTACCAGGATTATCATCATTAATGAGATAATCACATCTTGTTAATGATATTATAGATTTTTCATAAATTAATGCTGAAATATTAGAATTAAAATATTCTGAATTTTATTTAAAAGAATTAACATAAGAATTAACATAATTATTCAAATTTGAATTTAAAGCTAAAAAAATAGGATTAGCATTTAAAGTAGATTATAATATACCACCAACAATTAAATCTGATTATTAAAGATTACTTTAAATATTAATTAATCTACTTTATAATGCATTAAAATATTCATAACATGGTTATGTTTTAGTAACTATTAAAGCAGATAATTAATATAATAATATATAATTTACAATTGCTGATGAAGGAGTAGGTATAACATCTTCAAAATTAAATTAAATATAAAATGTATTAAAAGATCATCATACTTCTACTTAAGATTGGAATGGTTTTGGATTAATTTTGTCTTAAATGTTATTGAGATATTTAGGACCTCTTTAAAATAATGATTTAATTATTAATTCTTTAGGTTTAGGATTAGGAACAACAGTATAATTTAAAATATCAAATCATATCAATATTTATGATTATTATGTTAAAACAAGAAAAAATATTAAAACACATGATTAAATATTAACATTACCTGATTTAGATGAATATAATGGATTATTAATTACTATTAAAAGTTAAACAGAAAGTAAATAAATATTAAATAAATCATTAACATCATATACTGCTATTGATGAATTTATGAAAATTCCTGATGCTTAAACTCATTTAGTTTCTGAATTAAATCTATTATATAAAAATGGATGGATTGATAAAACTAAAAGTTTTAAAATTTTTAAATCATAAGAATAAAAGTATTAAAAATGTAATTGTAGAACTATTCTTTCAGTTGATGATGAAATATTTAATTAATAATCCTTAACTTGTATATTATAAAAATTCAATTTTGAAATTGAAACTGCTTATAATGGTTAATAAGCAATTAAAATGATTGAATAAAAAAAATCATGTGGTTTATTATGTCGAAAATATTTACTTATTTTAATGGATTGTTAAATGCCTGTATTAGATGGTTGGTAAACCACAAGAATATTAAAATAAAAGTTTTAATAAGGACAACTTAAACCAATTCCTATTGTGGGTTTTACTGCATTTACTAGTAAATCAGATCTTGAATAATGCAAATAAGTTGGAATGATAGAAGTCTTAAATAAACCTTTATAAGTCAAGAAACTAAAATGTATAATGGAGAAACTCAATTTATTATGATTTTATAGTTTACTATATTTTATAAATTTACAAATTATGAATAAAAAATAATTCAAAAAAAAAAGAATACATGAAGTTGATTATGCCCAAAAAGTATTGAATTCTATTAAACCTCATATCTAAAATACAAAATTAAATCAAAATCTATTTCATGCATAATAAATAACAAGACATTCATCAACAATAATTAAGGATATTCAAAAAGATGTAAGATAAACTCTAAGAAAATATGATTCATAAATAAAATTAAGTGAATCAAACAGAAATCATACAATTACTGATTCAACAAGAAAATATTCAAATGAAATACCTAGACACACATCATTCTCACCTGAAAAAGAATTAAATTGTTTAAAGCAATAATAAAGAATTTTAATGGCCCTATTGAATAATCTATAAAATTAAGAAAATCTTACAGATGTTTGTCATTAATCTTCTGAAAAAGATTTAAAACCATAATGCATAAAGAAGTAAACCTAAAAATAAAATGAGAAATAAATATAATATATAGAAAAAAAAAAAGTTTAAATTGACTAACCATAAAAAAAAATTTATAATGAAACTGATGTTATATCATTAGATTTAAGTAAACTTAAGAAATCACCTAATAATAAATCAATTTCATCTTTTAATTTTTTTGTAGCAAACAACAAAGATAAATAAAATTCAAATATTCCTGTTCTAACTCAAAACAAAAGTTGTTCAAAATTTAATTTGAAAAATTTTGATTAATAAAATTAATGGGAGAATTATGGAGTAGCAAATAATAAGAATAAATAACATTTAAAATATACTAAAAAGAATTAAAAAGACCAAATTAACAATGAAAATAAGTTATAAACAAATGGAAGATATAAATAAGGATTAGAAAGAAAGAGTGATAAATTGAATCCTAGAGATAGTCATTATGATTTTATATATTTGAATAATTTTGATATTTGAGAATTAAAATATCAATTTAATTTTAATATATATTTTATTATTAATTAAAATAGTTCTTTTGTTTAATTAATATCCATTTGATTAGTCATCTTTCTAATAAATTGTAGAGTTGGCTAAAAATTACATATCTTTCCAATAAAATAGAGCAAATTATTTTTCAGTTAATATAAAATCAAATAAATTAAATCATAAATATTTATTATTTCATTAATTTTTAAAATACATGAATCAAAATAAATAAATAAGATTGGTAAAATTAAATATAAATATCAAGAAATTACATTATCTTCTTTATAATAAGATATTAAATAATTAAATAAATAACTTATATTATAGAATAAATATAGATTCTTAATTTATGTTTCATTTATAGTCTAATTTTATCACTTTAGATGAAAATAGTCATAATTAGATTGGGGTGAATATTAGTAGATCTCAGGATAGTATAAATCAATAAATTTAGAAATTAAAACAGCAAATATTTAAGCTAATATATTCTTAAACTTATCATCATATATATTATTATGTAATAGATTTTGTATTTTATTTCATATTAATTCTTAGTTATCTTTATATCCTAATATTTTTAATTATAGTTTAAATTATTCAATAATGGTTATTGAGAAAGTAATCCATTTATATCTTAAACAAAATGGGAGATATGAATGATCCTTGTGGAACTAGTTTTAATAGTAATTATTTAAATTATCTTATAGCATGAAATAATATATCTTATTGAAGACTAAGTTAATTGATGATTATATGACACAACCTTGAACTTTTATTATTTTGATAGAAAAATAATAAGATTAAATATTAAAAAAGTGGATAGTATTCATAGCTAAAATATCTTTGTTATTTTGTTATCAACTTAGATTTTTTAAAATAAATTTAAAAGATGTTTTTTTCTGGAAATTGTATATCTGATTTGATTTTGAATTACAATAAATTAGATTTAAAAAATAAATAGAATTATACGGTAATTGATGATAAATATTGAATAATAACATTAGTATATTAGAATTTGTTGATAAATAAAAAAAGAGTTTAATTTCAATATTAATTTAATGAATATTTTAGATGAATATTAATAGATTTCAATATCATTTCAAACAAAACAACAACTAAATAGATTTAAAGAATAGATGAATCAATGATTGAAGTTTAATTTGGAATATATAGAATATATAGAATATTCTAATATTAAATGATTAAGTACATATATCAAATTTAATTTTTAAAGTAGATTTGAAGATTATTAAAGGGCTTAAATACTTATGTACTATTATAACCTCATGCTTTTTTGAGGGGAATAAAAAAATAATAGTTTTCTATTCAAACAATATAATTACCTCTCAAACTTATTTTAATTTTTAATCATGTATTTTTTCCACCCCCGGTCATTTTTTTATCAGGATTTTTAAGGTGAATAAACAAAAAAATAATAATTAAAATAATTTGTTTTCAAAAGAATCTCTCTTACTCTAGAAATCGTTATTACAGCTATGACGACCTTTTGTGTATTACTAAATTAAAATTTTTGATTTCTAGCAAATCGATGATGTTTTTTAAGTCCATTTAACTTCAGATTAAGCAAGAGTGATTGCAAAGAGATTACCCCCTGGTTTTAGCATTAATTTAAGCAGATAATCAAAAAGAGATGTTAAAGTTTGCTAATCAAATAATAAAATTTTAGAAATTTTAATAGGATATTTCATCAGATGAAGAGAATAAAGTCACAAAAAAGACATATGTAACACCTCCTTATAGAGCAGAAAACAATGATGAAATCAAAAGATGTTTAACATTACTTTAAAAACTAAAAAAACATTAATTAGCAGCTCCATTTCTAAGGAAATTAGAAAATGTTAATTATCCTTAAGAATTGGAATATGTTGACTTATAAATTGTTGAATAAAATCTCAAAAACAGTACTTAACTTATACAATAATAATTTAGATGAATATCTTACTGCCACGTAATTTTGGGGAGATATAAAGAAAATCTGGTAAATGTCCTATGCCATGAATAACAAAGGAACCTAATTATATGCGATGACTTAAGAGTTAGAATAACATTTTAATGAATTATACAAAGAATTAGATAAACCTTATCCATAAAAATAAGTTGTTGAATAACAACCAAAATAAGACAAATAGAAAAAGCCCCCTTCTATATAATAAACTAATAATAATAATCATCATAATAATTTAAATAATAAAAAGCCAATGTATAATATCTAAAAATAATATTAGAAAATAACCTAGTTTAATGGAATAACCTATGAATATGCAAGAAAAAAGAGCCTTAGTTTCAAATATAAATAGTTTGCCTCCTGAACATCTTAGAGGAGTTTGGGAGATAGTTTCTGATGGACTCAAAATATAAGAATAAAATGATGAATTAGAATTTGATATTGATACTTTACCAGTTAAAAAGACAAGATAATTAGAAAAATATGTAAACACAAAACTCGAATATTTAAAAAAACAATAAAGTAAAAAGACAGCAGAAGAAAATAAAACTTAAGAAAAAAATGATAGAATTGTATTCAATTAATCATAATTTTAGGTTCATACAGCAAATAATACGTATAACCATACTCCATAGCCAGTTACTCAATTAAAATAAACTGACACTGGAGATAGCTCATTTAGCAGTGATGCTGAAGAATCTGTATGAGTTTTTTTTTAATTTTTGTTTTTTGATTTATTTCATTAAGATACATTAAAATATTTAACTTCTGAATTTTTTCTTCTAATTTATTCTAAAATTATAATATTTTCATATATTATATAAATTTTTAATTATTCTTATATGTAATCTTTCATTTTATTATCATTTCAAGATTTTAAAGAATTAATTAATATAATTATTTTTTTATCTGATTGATATTTTAAAATATTCTATTTAAATAATCGAAAAATAACATCTTTAATTTATTTGATTGATAAATAAAATTTAGATAACTTTTAATCTTTTTTATAATTTTATAATCCCATATTTATAGTTAATTAATATAACTATAATATTATATATATTAATTTAAATATTAATGATTATTTAATGGGTATCTATGTTTTAACAAATGATTTATTAAGAATTTAAAAAAAATTTAATATTTAATCATAAAATATTTGTACTTATTTAAATGAAATATTCATTAACCAATTTACAAAGTCTATTTAAGCTAGTTAAATAATTCTTGTTGTTGATTAGTAGATAATTAGGAAACATAACCGAGTACTGTTCCTAATGTTACTGCTTTTGGTAAAACAATTTAGTGCAAATATAAATATGAAAACATTCCTGTTAATATTTAACAATCCATTCTATCAGTAATTCCTCCATGTCCTGGGATAGTATCACCAAAATCCTTGATTTTAATGCCTCTCTTAAAACCAGATGCAAAAAAGCCACCAAATGGTGATACCAAACTTGTGAATAAACTAAACACCATAGCATGAATCTAGAAATCACTAAAATAAATAGAATCTAATCCAAAAATTGAAAAAGGTAATTATCTTTAAGTACTTATAAATACACTAGGTATTTCACATGTTAATGAAGCAAAAGGAGAAAAGGGTAGTTAATGTTATGGACAAGTCAAATATTGACTACCTTATAGAACATAAGCAAACTATGATATGAATTAATTATTACACAAAAAGATGCAATTAATGTTGAAAAACAGCCTCCTATAAAACCTTCCCATGTTTTCTTTGGTGATAGTTCAATTAAGGGAGTCTTTCCAAATGATACTCCAAAAATATATGCGAATATATCATTTGTTATTACTAAAGAACATGGTAATATAAACCAAACAATACCTAAAATTGTTGATATTTATTATAAATACCTTCAAAAATATTCATTATCATGACTGAACTTTAAGCAACTACAAGTATTAAAGTGATATGTGTCCATCCAAACATTCTAAATTAATATCGATAATATCCTTTTTTGAGTGATAATGTAAATATTAGAAATCCTGCCACCCATAACATAAAAGTTATAATATTATGATAATTCAAAATAAATGACAGCATATTCATTTTAAATGCATATTCTGATAATTTAGATTAAAACAATTTTCCATAACAAAAAAAAGTGGCAATTCCAAAGAAGTACCAATTTATTAAAGAAGAATATTTAACATTTAACTCTTTCTCATAATTTCTTTTTAATCCTAAAATTTCCTTAAATATTCCAATATTAACTAGCAAGACCAATCCAATAATATAAATGTGGCCTGCCCATAAAACACCCATAAACCCCAAAATCATAACAATTGTCCATATAGTTCTTACTACAAAGTTGTTATTCTTAATAATTATAGGGACATTTCTTTCTAAATTAGGTAATTTATTCTTAGAAACGATCTTTTTTGGAGAAGGACCTCTTCTTCTTACTTGAGTATCAGACATCTCTGAAAAATCATTTTCTGTATTAGATTCTTCTTATTGAGAATCAACTTTAGATTTCATTTTTGATTAAGAAAATATATTAATAATTAATATCAGCAATCTTTATTTAAACCTGTATCGAATTTTAACAATTCTTTTTAAATCTTATTTATCTTTTTTGTGTTGTAAGTTGATTATTATTATGTAGGTTATTGGAAGGGCATAGTAGCAAAAGGAAAACCTTAATTACTAAAAGCTGGTGAATTAAATAATCTTAACAAACAAGGTACATCTTACTAGGGAGCACTCGAATCCAAATTATTTGTCGATTTCATGTATTCATCAAATAACTATAATTAGCCAGAATAAGTTTTGTTCCTTATTTCATAAGGGGATGAAATATGGTTGGGACTTGATTCTAATCATACTTTCTATCTTTTACATAATAAATAATGTAATGGTGAAAAAGGTAACATAGGTGAGTATACTGGTAATCCAAGCATTAAAGGTTATTATTATTATTATTATTGTTATTATTACTATTATTATTATTGTGGTTAATGTTATTATACTTATTATTATTATTATTATTAT